ATCGACGATGTTCGCCTTGTCGTCGCTCTCGATGATCCTGTCACCGGCGCCACACGAGATGTATTGGTTGAACATGTCCGCGGCGGAGAGCCTTTCCTCGAACGCGACTACGGTACCGAAACGCCCCGACACACGAGATACATTGCCGGTGAAGATATTGAGATTCCTTGGCCCCGAAGTGACCCTGCAGAAATGAAGGATGAGGCCTGGGACACGCTCCGTATGGAAGTTGAAACGCCCACTTGGATGCCGTCATTGCACTACGCCCCATTCCCTCCCAGCGTCCTGGACGAGCTCCGCAACAAGTTCTCGAAATACAGAACCAGACACGATGAGGAGTGGGTGGAAGCTAGGAAGTTGGAAGACTACAGAAGGGAATATCTGCAAAGCCGGTCTTTGTTGACACCCAGAGGTGAATTCTTGGCCATGCTTCAAGCCAAGAGGCAGGAGCGCCAGAACGCGAGGAAGGATGCCAATGGAAATTACATCCTGGATGATAAGACGGTCGGATTCATTGAGAACTTCATGAAGGAGAAAGCGACCAAGAAAGCCTAATTGCTTGCTGGGATTTCGTTTGGTGTTCCGACTTGTGGGAGAGTGCGCCTGGGTCTTTTCTGTTTCATTTACCTTTTCCTTTTTTTCCAATGGGTGTACACAATTATACTACTGTAGCATAGAATCTGAATGTATAAGATGAATAGTATGGATAGGCTGCTTCCCTGCAGCAACCAAACTGTAGGTTGATTTGAGTACAGTTACATCCGTCGCAAGAAGACTGGACGTAGGCGCGACCGGACCCAATCTTTGCGGACTACTTTGCCCCAAATGCGCTCGAAATTATGGATGCGCGCGCCCACGGGTCGACAGGGCCGCCAGGGGAGAGGTCTGCAGCTGCGTTCCTTGCTAATTACTTTCTTTCTTCATCCATCCGATCCGCGTCCCGGTTTACCCATTTCTCCCCCATTCAACTTCCCTTGTTCTAGGCGGCCTCAACAGGTTTGACTTACGCAGATTACATATATAAGCGTCATTGGGGCTGTCAACCTTCCACAGCATGGCTTTTGCCACGATCAACTCATCGGTGCCGTCCAGTATCCCGGCCATTGAGGACGCCTTTGCCGCCCAACCAGCGCTCAAAAAACGGGTTTACGATGCGATCGGTGCGTGTTATGTCGCTTAAGACAACAATCTACTTTCACCCCACAACCCCATAGGAGGTGCAAGGACTGCGGGCTGACCCTCTTATCCTGTAAACAGCACATACCCCGCAACATGGACTTCTCTTCGAAGATATCGCGAAATACACTTCCAGCCTGCTGGCCAGGACTGCAACCGCCCCCGTTCGGCCTGTCGAGGTCGTCACCGACGGCCCGGCCATGAAGAAACGAAAACTACAGAATGGAAATGCTACAAGTGCCCAATCCTCCGGTGACCTGAAAGCCGATACTTCGCTCCAATTCTACATGCAGGATGTTTCTTTTGCTGTTCCCCAGCGGAAGAAGCTTACACTCGAAATCACCGCGGGATTCCTGCGTGCGAGAAACCAGACATCGAAGGAGGTCGAGTTTGGAGTGCATTTGGATAACATACGTATGTGTAGAACTATGGTTGACGGAATTGGTGTCAATGCTGACAATGTTGTTCGATCACAACAGATCACGTCTTGTGCCTCCCCGTTCCCGAGAAGAACCAGCGACAATTTAATTTCTGCATTATCCCCCAATATGCGGACGGCGTCAACTCACCACCTGAAGGTGTAGCTGCTCCCGATGCCATCGTATGGACGGTCAACGACGGACCGCCCAAGGCAGCGTTCTCAGGAAATGGACAACAGCTTGGAACCGATAACGAAGAAACGGCTGATAAACTTGTCCAGCGGATACTAAACGACAGCCTCCCACGGACCAAGGTTGTGCGTCCAGATGAGCGAGAGTTCGTGAGTGCTATGCCTGAGGCTCACCGCAAGGGGGAGAAGGCCTATCATGTCAAGGCCTTCCGCGGCAGTAAAGAAGGTATGCATGGCGTGTCCTTTCCTTATGTTCCCTTGTCTAAAAAAGTTACATCTCAGGTTATCTCTTCCTTCTTTCTACGGGAATACTATTCGGGTTCAAGAAACCACTGGTCTTCTTTGCCTTCGAAAACGTCGACTCAATTTCATACACCTCTGTCCTGCAACGGACCTTCAATCTCAATGTTGTAGCTCGGCCTACGTCAAGCGAAGAGACGCAGGAATTCGAGTTTTCCATGATCGACCAGGCCGACTTCTCCGGAATTGATGGATATATCAAAAAGCATGGTCTGCAGGATGCCAGTCTTGCTGAAGCACGACGTGCGAAGCGATACAATGTCAACAGTGCCAAGGGAGACGATGAAGCTGCTGCCAACGAGGAAGGGGCTGTCGAGGAGGAAAGTGAACTACAGAAAGCCCAACGCGAGCTGGAAGATCAAGAGGACGAGGACGAGGAAGATTACGATCCCGGGAGTGACAGTGAGAGCGACGGAAGCGGCTCTAGTAGTGAGGACGACGATGATGATGAGGAGGAGGATGAAGGCGACATGGATGAGGACGGCGAAGAAGACCGAAATTTGGTGGCGGAGGAGCTTGGAAGTGAAGCAGAAGACGTTCCGGCGGAGGAACTGTGAGAGACCGCCTATATATCCAACCTGCTGCTGTATGAATAAGTGACTGTTGCTATGGTCACACCAACACACCCTGTGTGCGATGTGATGAAGTGTATTCGACAATCGCGTGGCTAAATCACTCTACTGGATGGGCGGCCCGTTACACTACACCAGGCCACTCTCGAACGTATGAATTTTTGGGGCCGATTTAGGCCGGACTATGCCCCTGCATTATCTGGCATACGCGCCTGTATGCCGTAGAGTTTTGCCAACGAGGCATTCCACGTCTGATGTAGTTGGGGAAGGAGAAACCGTTTCAAGGCTGCATTGAATGCGTTTCAAACGAGCAGTCATCACTACATGGAGGCCAGTCGATCAGAACAAACCAAGCACAGGCATCCAGTGGGATGTGGGTCATGGACGTGTCAGATGCGTCTAAAATGGAGGAGCCACTGGTGGATGTGCTACGGAGTTGCAGGATGCCCGGCTGTGCGGCGCAGTACTCAGTAGCGACATTTCATGGGAAGTCAGTCCTCCATGGGAAATCCGATCATGACGGCCGGTTACTTCTTCGAGAACACTTCTAATCCTCCATATTATTGAAAAGTGGTGGAAGCCGCCAACCCAATTGGGCTCTTCGGAAGCACCCCTGTGCTATCAGGGCCCCCAAATCCCACTCCGATACCTTGTACCAATGAAATCAGCAGGTCAATACCTTGATAATGAGGACACTGCGGAGCAAAGTAATCCTCGTCCTACTCCTCGTTTGGAAAGAGTGGGGAGGGGTGGATGAGTATTAAGTCTAGTCTCCCAATTCTCAAGTCACTCACTCACTTACTCACAGCCTCCGTATCTATTATGTATCTACTAACAGGTAGGGGCCAGGTAAGTACGGTATGATACATAATTTCCCCCCCGATACGACACCTATCTACCACTAGCAGCTACCGAACACTTTTACTAGTAGTAGTCGGACTACTATTTGAAGTAGCTCGATTGGTTGCCCTGAGCGTCAGGTTGGGTTACAGACTGGTCAGGGGCAGTGCCAGCTCAGCGCAGGTACCTTCAAACCCCTCAAGGCTTCTTAGATGCAGACCGCAGCACCTCACTAGTCACTAGGCAGATTAAGAGTGATTAGCCGCTAGGAGCGAGCTGACAGTCTGTCATTGTCGAATAATATATATGGGGCGTTGTTTTAGCTGAATTGACAGCTACGATCGCTGGCGATTATTGGTAGAGAAGGGGAGAAGGGAATTGGACCGCTGTGTCGGTTAGGTTACTTACTTACTACTTACTAACCTAACTAGCAAAGTACAAAGTCAGTTACTAGTCAGGTTGGATAGTATACGATCTTACTAACCTAGGAAGTTATTATCTGCGCCATTACCCGCAGCTTGCGGACAACTCGCATCCCCTCTGCGCAGGTACTTCAACTCTGGGTTTAGGGGTCCTGGGGTTAATTGTTGCTTGCTTGTTCCGGAGTAGAAATCCGATTGAGAGGAGGATGTGTCCCGCAATGATAGGGGAAAGAGAAGCAATGTGATTCGATTTATTGAACTACCGATCGGATAAACGATCCATAAAGATGAAGTTAGTCATTAGATACGTAGTGTTAGTTCTGTTAGGCATGTGTTGGCTTTTCATGAGCTCCTCTGCTCCAAGTCAAGTATAGGCAGGTTTTATGTTCCGCAGGGAAATAGATTGATACACCACGTATGTACCTGAAATTACGTTACCATGCCAAAAGCAGCTAGACCTTGATGGCCATTTCCATCCTGTCGTTCATTCCTCGGTCAAGGGAGCAACAACAACAACAACAACAACAACCTAGTAGGCACAGGGGGGGGGAGGACAAGTGCAACTTGTGAAAGTATAGTAGTCAATTGTAGTGATTATGGTAAATAGATAGTTGGTTGAAACTAACCTCAATGTCAATTGCGGTGACTATATATTTATTCTTAATAGTATCTATATAGGTAGAAAAAGAGAATAAAATGGATGGATGGATTCCTTTTGCCCACCGTGAGCGAACTCCCGGGGGTTCCATGTTTCTTTTTATTTTATTTTATTTTACTTTTATTATTTTTTTCATTTTTCCCTCCTTGTTTAGTGCTGGATGGAGCTTTTGACGACACACTTAAACAGCGCCAGCCCCATGTGGCACTGGGGTGAAAAAGAGGAGAAGAAGGTAACAATCGTACCATCGAGACCACCGCAATAATAAATAATAATAATAATAGCTTTTCCCATCTGGTCCAGAATCCACTGCTGGCGTCTACTAACCGGAGTAGTGCCCGCTTTCAACCGTTCATCACCCAAACAGGCTGAGCGCTAGCGGCGCCGCTAGTAAAGGTCCCTGGGTCAGGGCGATTCCGAGTTCAGGATAAAATTTGGGAGGCGAATAAGCGCCATTGAAGTCTGCAACTCGATCCTTTCATTGGCTCTCATATTGTATCCAGAGTTTTCTTCACTTCCTTGGGATCAACAGTTCCAGTGTCTGGTAGGCATGAGAGACAACTCTGGGGTAATCTGAAAAAAATGGAGATCTTGTCTCACTCACATAATCTTACCCGATCAGCAAGTGGTGGTAATAGTAGTACTTCTTTAGGAGAGAGAGGTATGTGGGAAGTGGAAGGACAGATGAATGAATGAATGAAGAAATGCATGGGGCCCTCGGGATGTCTCAGTGTAATCAGGTACCATACCCGTACTCCCGATTACCGCCCTTCATCCCCTATCGATGGGGCCTTTCCGGCTCCAATCGCCTGCACTAGTTGATACCAGTTACCCAGTTGTTACCATCGTTACCGTGAGAAAAACCGGGCGGAAGCGCCCCATTTCGAAGGGCGTCATCGGGTTTCGACTTTCTCGAGTCTTTCGACAGGTAAATAAGTTACTTGACTTTACTGGCTTTACTTACCTGAACTAGTAGCCGATACGGCTGTTCCGTCATGACCTGACCAAAACCTAGCAAAGGAACCAGACCGGACCAGACCAAACCTCTCTCTCTCTCTCTCTCTCCCTCTCCCTCTCATCCAACCATCGCCTCTCTTGCCGCGCTCTCTCTCTCTCTCTCTCTCACTCCTCCGTCTCTCTCCTCTTCCTCCTTCCTCTTTTCTCCTGCTCCTGTTATTCTCCGCCTCATTTCTTTCCCTTCTTTTGAACCCTTCCCTTTCCCTCCTTCTCCCCCATAGGCAGGTCGTAGCAGTTGTAGTTCATGCCATCGGCGTGTTCGCTGCTCACCTAGGTCCTCTCTAGTCTCTACCGACCTACTCTTCCTCCCGTCTCCATTCCTCCTATCACTCTTCTTTCCCTTCTTCTCTCTCCTCCCTCCGTCTTCCTCCCCTTCGACGGCGCCCTCCAATTCTACATCTACCACTGCCTGCCCAGTGCGTTTTTGCCGTACTGCCACGCGGTTGGTCGGTAGTAGGGGAATTTTCTTTCCTTATTTTTTTTTTTCCCTCCCTCCCTCCTTACCCCTTCTCGATTAATTCCCTTTTTTCCCAAAATCGAACATTTTATTCCTCGTCCCCTTTCCGACGAGCGCACCCTTAACTGTCAGCCTGCAGCCCTCAAAGCTGTCGGTTCCCCGGAATACCTTGTTCTTCCCTCTCCCGTCACCCTTCTTGCCAACGTCGTCCAAGGGTGCACCCTATTCCCTCCCCGTCCAAATTCACCGGTGCGATTGTTCGAGCGACTATCTATCTCGCCGTCTGCGGTCTCCGATTTGTCGTCCATCCGGGTTCCGTGATTGTTGTATACTGGGGTTCTCTTTCATGAATGGTTCGCATTGGTACCATCGGGCTTCCTGTAAGACTCCGGTCGCCTTTTCCCCCCTCTCCCACCTTCACGCCCCAGGGCCCGCTACTAGACCTCATTTCTTTCGTCATTTATGCCCTCTGGTCGATTATTCTGACCCATCCGTCAGGCTAGTCTCACGTGTAACCGCCGTTGATCGAGTCCTCTAAGCCTACCTTCCCCTTCTCGCCGCCCCTGTCCGCGGTCTCTCAACTTCCCTCCTCCCCTCCCAACTACCGCAGTCATGTCATCCTCCTCGTCCAACGTCGTCGGTGTCCACTACCGAGTAGGGAAGAAGATCGGAGAAGGATCGTTCGGTGTGATCTTCGAGGGTACGAATTTGTTGAACAATCAGCAGGTGGCGATCAAATTCGTACGTGATACTCTTGATGGCACGGGTCTACGGTTCGCCCATACTAATGGTACTAGGAACCTCGCAAGAGTGATGCACCACAGCTTCGCGATGAATATCGGACATACAAGATTCTGGTTGGATGTCGTGAGTATACCCTGGTGGCAATTGTGTTCGTAAGGTTTCCCGGTCCTGACTGGTTGCAGCTGGCATCCCCAATGTCTACTACTTCGGGCAAGAAGGTCTTCACAACATTTTGGTTATCGACCTGCTCGGTCCCAGTTTGGAAGACCTCTTCGATCATTGCAACCGACGTTTCTCAATCAAGACTGTTGTCATGGTCGCTAAGCAGATGGTGCGTACTCCGACCAATCGATATGTGGATGTTCATACTAACATGCTTCAAAGCTTTCACGAGTCCAAACGATCCACGAGAAGAACCTAATCTACCGTGATATCAAGCCCGATAACTTCCTCATTGGTCGCCCGAACACCAAGGCTGCTAATGTAATCCACGTTGTTGATTTCGGTATGGCCAAGCAGTATAGAGATCCCAAGACGAAGCAGCATATTCCCTACCGCGAACGGAAGTCGCTGTCCGGCACAGCCCGTTACATGAGCATCAACACCCACTTGGGACGTGAACAATCGCGACGTGATGACCTCGAAGCTTTGGGCCACGTCTTCCTCTACTTCCTCAGAGGTGGCCTCCCCTGGCAGGGTCTCAAGGCTGCCACCAACAAGCAGAAGTATGAGAAGATTGGCGAGAAGAAGCAGACCACCGCAATCAAGGATCTTTGCGATGGATTCCCAGGTGATTGCGTCTCTTTTCCCTTTTAAAAGGAATCATTATCACTAATCAGATGGCTCAGAAGAATTCACAAAGTACCTCACTTATGTGCGCAACCTCGGCTTCGAGGATACCCCTGACTACGATTACCTCCGGGACCTCTTGACACAGGCTCTCAAGAATGCCGGAGAAGTCGAAGATGGCGAATATGACTGGATGAAGCTCAACAATGGAAGAGGATGGGAGTACAAGTCCTACTCGTCTCAACAGCACCTCCACAACAACGCTCTTCCCAACACCTCTGCCCGCGAGCTACACGCACAGCAGCTCCGCGGCAGCCGGCCCGGAGTGACTGCCGACCGTTTAAACGCCGCTCAGCCCCCGCCTCCGTCTCCGGCCAAGCCCGGAGCTGGCAAGACACGCGACCGGCCAAGCGTCTCAGGCGGCATGCCGCCGAAGCGCCAAAGCGGGGGCCTGGATGCCACGCCGACAGCATCGACTCAAGCACAGTTTCAGAACTCGAATGCCAACATTCCGGGACGCCTGGACAGCCCTGCGAACCCGACGAAGAACAGCCAACAAGGCCAGGGCGCTCAGGGAAACAATGAGCCGCAGCCTACGTTTGTCCAGAAGCTGATGAAGGCGCTTTGCTGCGGTAGGTGATCCAAAATGCATACCGCAAGTTTTTAGGCCTTCCCATACTTATACCGGGATATCCAGGTTGATGCGAGGATGAGCGTGGAATTCTCTGGAATTCTACATGAATCACCTGGTCATGTTGGCTTTTCGACTTTCTTTCGTTATTTCTTGTTCTCAACATGCTTGGGAGGTTTGAAAGGCAGCATGCGATTATACTGTGTTATAGCCCGGGAACTCTCCCCATCCCGTTGTACGTGTTTCGACTTGCCGACGCAGCTGCTGTTGCAGCTGCTGATGCAGGTGAACATGATGTTGACTTTGGGGAGCGTGGATATATTGTTCTTTTTCCTTATTTGTGTCATCCATGGGTCTCGGATCAAGAGCATCTGGCTCCAAACCGCCTGCTCTCGCTCTCTCTCTCTCTAATCTGCCAAGGCAACATCAGCACGAAATGCGTCGGCCTTCGATATAGAAACGACCCTCCCACGTCTTTCTCATCACCCTCGTCATCTCAACACTCTCTTTATGGTGCTACGGCTCGGAACGGCGAACCTGATCAGTCCTGCTTGTGTCATTGCATTTCTTTTCCTCTCTCTTCTTTATTTCCTTCGTCCCGCATTCCCGGCACGAGTCATTTAATACTAGAGTTCCGTCTTGTGTTTGTCAGAGTACATGATCAGTGCCCCGAACCTCTTACCTTTCCTCTTCGACCCGTCTCTGACATCTACCACTCTATCACGTCGGGTCTCTCGTGGCTGGTCTTTCGATGGTAATTTTAATGATGTGGCAGAAGGGCGTTTGGCATTTGGTGGAAGTCCTCGCGTGTCGTCCGGGCAGACACTGATTTACAAAGCATTTTTAGCATTTAAATGTTTGAATATGCGGCCCCGTGGAATGCGTGTGCAGGACTAATTGAGTCCTCGGTCAAGGAGTTCATGCGATAGCGGCCTGCGGCTGTTTCTGTTTACTTTTTTCTTCTTTTCAATTCCATTCTGTTGTGTCGCTATTCACGCGCATTTGCAAGGAATCATTCGGATGTAGCCGTGTGTGTTTTGTTGGATTTGTACTTGTTCCTATCATGCTTTCTGCCGTTGTCAGTTTCAAAAACAGTTGATTCACCAGATTCGCCTGGTTCTTTCGTCCTTTTTTTCTTTTCGTGCTCGAAGGGTGTGACGAGTCTGCTCGACCCCTGTTGGTCGAGGGACTACAGAGGGGGAGGAAGGTGGAGCAGTAAACCAAGCCCTGAGTCGGCCTCGAAGAGGTTTGCGTTCCAGAGTCTGCGGCAAGTTGTGCTATATATACGTTGATGCAGAGTGATGGTGAAGATGACAGGGAGTCGCAGATCTACCGAAAGAGGAAGAGTATATGCATTCAGCATGGCCGTGGGAGTTCTATATCGAAAACGGGGGCTTGGTTTCCGTAGAGTAATCCGGTCTTTTGGATGTCAAGCGTGTGAACATGGGCGTGTTAGGAGTTGTTTTCGAAGATACCTACTTTTTTCTACTGCTGCATACATAGTATAGTACTACTTTAATCCCATTAGATAGAGCTTCTAATATACAGTTCTATAGCGATCACCTTCATCACATCGAGCAGCTGACATGTACGTTGTATGCATGCACACTTTCTATGCTGTTCTCTACTTACTTGTCGACGTTGGCAACAAGAAAGTAGACGGTCTTCCCCAACATAAGAAGCAACCAACCAATAAACTACCTACCTACCTACCTAGTACCCTTCAATCAAACATCATCTCGTACTACTTACTTACTACCTACTCTAAGTACCACCCATCGCCAAGACACAAACACGGCACAGCAGCAGCAGCAGCAGTGCAAGCCACCCACCCACCCCAGCCCTATCAACCCACTAGATACTTACTATCTAGTGCCTACTACGTACTATTCTCAGCTTACCCTGCAGGCCAAGAAAGAATGTATTCCTTCCCGCTATGACAATGATGACATGACATGACATTTTAGCCATCCCCATAGTTAGCTAACCCATGCCCTTACACGTATACCATGACATGATATGATATGACTATCTATCTTCCAGCGAGCAAGCAAGCAATCAACTGAAGTAAAGTATTCATTAACGCTCCTCATTGGAAGATGGGTGCTGTGAGCTGTGCCGTGTTCGGGACGAGGGGGGGGGGGGATGATGATCGGTAGGGATTGATGGATTGATGGAGGGGGAAGGGGGGATCTGTGCGCACGGTAGGACTGCTACTTAGGCTACTAGTTTGTAGTGGCGGATCGGGTGATGTTATAGGTTGGGATGGATGGAGGGATGGAGGGATTCAGGAGGGGGTGGTGATGATTGTCTTGGCTTGGGTTGGTTTGATGTTGATGTTGATAATTGGTGGTTGGGTATGTGTGTATGTGTGTGTGTGTGTGTGTGTTTGTGAGGTTTATGATGTTCAGTACTACGTAGGTGTATAGCAACTCTGGTTTTGTTGTAATAGGATTGTAGTATCGCTTTTACTATGTATGTATGTATGTATCTATATAGGGATTAAATTATGGTGATACAACATCCCTCATCCCCATACCAGAAGTGTCCTGCCTGTACTATCGAGTAGGATAACGATAAAGTGAAGTAATTCCACTCAGCATCTTCCTGCGGAATAATTCCAGTGTAAGAAGACAGACATAATGGTGTAGGAATACATTTTCCTTCCTGTCTTGGCAACTTGCTTGGCTGCTTGGCTACTTCACTTCTGAAAGTGAACGAATCATCGTTGCAGATGAGGGGAGTAAGTAGCTGTCTTCGTTAAGTCTGTCTGTGATAGGGTTTGCCTTCTTGGGAGGAGTGCATACTATAGGTTACTACCCCGTCCCGTTAATACACGGAATATAGACTGGGATTATGGTGATGGTGATGGGGGATCAGCGATGGCAATTATTCTTCTACTAAGTACTAAGTAGCTATGGATCCTGTCATGGTGGTTTGATGTTTGATGCTGTCATGTTGCAGATGTGGCGCAGGGATAAATGGTGGGCGCTTAGTTGTAATGATGATAACTACGTAGTAAGTATTTTGTAGTAGTTACTTAGTGATGGGATGGGATGATCATAATAGTATCCTACTATATACACATAGTACAAAAATACTGTAATAGAAGGATATGATATTTTGTAGAATATAGGGGAAGTCCTTCTCAGCTCTGATTGAATGACGAGAATAACAAGCTCCTACATAGAAAAAGTGACACTTCAGTATCCCGAGCATCTGATTGACTGCCGGGCCAACCACAACCAAACATATGATGACCGACAACGGATCATCAGACAAGACAATCCTCTCATTATTCTCCACTACAGCAGGTCTAGACCCAAAGTGGGAATGGGGAGGGGAGGGGGGCAGCATTTCGGGCCCGAGAATCGAATCGGAATCCCAGTTCCCAGTTCCCACTCGCCTGTTTCAGATTGACGGGAGAAGCAGAAAGACAGAAAGACAGACAGACAGGCATCAGGCCACTTCGTCATATTCTTCAGGCTTTTGTCTTTTTTATCGCGTTGGGCTGCCCTGGTCCGGATCTTCCTTATATCATCCACTTACTATGATGATCCAGATGCCTGCCTGCCTCACTTATTAGCACTGACCGGCTATTCTTTGCTGTCTTTTCCCGTGTAAGGGTTCTGGTTCTGCAGAGATCTCTTCTCAATTCTCATGCGGTGTCTGATCGCGTCATAACTCTCGATTTCTTGGCTAGTGCGGCGGCTTAGTGTATTGCCGACCACGGAGAAATTGTGGATCTTGACTTGGAGGTCGTTCTTTCGTAGAGCCCAAGTATGGAGTATACGTAGGAGAAGTTTATGATGGCCAAAGAGATGAGATGAGAGATGAGGGTCCTTTCATGGCCAGGATTGATACTGTAGTAGAAGCTCAATGACTTGACTGTCGTCGATCATAGGAGGCTTGTGACTAGTAGTACTTTGTAGGTGATTTACGGTGGATTTTGTTGCTCCTTCGGTTGACTCCGAACTCCCCGTAGAATTGTAAGTCTCCAATCGGTGCAATGCATACATACAGCGCCAACTTCACCATCAATGTAAGCTGCTAGAAATTAGTAGGTCAAAACCTGCCAAGCAGAAACAGCTGTACGAGAAAAAAAAAATCTTCTCTTCTGACAGCTGGCCGAAAACGTGGCTTCGTGGCGGTCTCGCGCATTTAGCAATTGAGGTCGTACACGTGGTGACCAGTCCTTGGCAGCGCCCTCGATACGATGGGGTCAATTGGAGCTGTAGGTACGTATGGATATCTGAATGGTTGTTCAACTTGCTAGCTTGCTGGGAAGATGGAGAACTGTCGGTAGCAGCAGCAGCAGCAGCAGCTACCTGCTTAGCTCCAAGAAGTTGCTCCTGCAAGTGGGCTCTTGTTCGCATCCTACTTCTGCATGCAGGAAGCTATGAGACGAGAAGTGAGGCGAAAAAGAATCCAATATCGACTCGAATAGCTTCACTACCATTGACTTTTCTAGTTTTGGTGTGTCCACCATTGGCAAAACTGACTATACCCAGATTTAGTCATAGCTATTAGATAGTTATTTGGTGTTACTCCGATGCAAATTGATACCTAACTTAACTTTCCCTATCAGTACTCCGTTCTACCTTTGGGGTTTTCGGTGTGCGGGCGGTGCCGACAACCTTGTTGGCTGGACCCAATATTTGCCCCCTTCCTAAGTCCTAACTAATGAATAAAACATGGAGCAAACGAGGATAAGTGCCAGGGCGGGTACCGTCGCTAATCGTCGGCGTGAACTGGCACGGGGATTAGGTAATTTGTCTCCATTAGTACACCATACTAGTTAGTTGCTGTGGTACTATCTACGTATCACTCTTCGGAGTCCGGATAGTAAGTAGATAATTAAGTTGATATGTGGCTCTAGAGAGACGGACTCAATTTTTGGTATATTTATGCCGCCGAAGTTTGATAAGACTCCGATGATTCTCTTTCCCAGAGGAGTAGCGACCTCACTAGCCTAAAGATTAGGTTCAGCACTCCGAAATAGTTTTTCATTGCCAACTGATAAGCCACCGCGCTGCTTTGCCACCCTCACCCGATCCGTCGCTATGGACTTTCTTTCTTTCTTTATCAGTCCGGAGCATATCGGAGCGCTTGTCCATTTTTGATGGCCGTAGATTAATTTTGTCCCTGGTGATATGCAAAGTTGCTTGTTGTTGTTACATTAATAGAGTGGCGTTGTGCAAAGAAGAAAAATGATTTCCTTCGAAAGCTTCCATAATCAATCTAGAATTTCATGATGATCGGCTTTGCTGGTCAGTTGATGCGATGACCCCGACACCCGTTCGACGAACAATCAATCAGATGGCACAACAGCCCATGGAAGATGTAATGGAAGTTGATAAGCAAAGCCAATTAGTCAAGATGACTCAGGCGTGACCGTCCTGAGATGACCTTACTCAGAAGCTTCAAGCAATGTAGGTAGTAAGGTTACCGGGACCATAAATCTGTGTCGTATTCAAGTGTCACTCGACCTTTCAAGCCACTTACTTACTGGGTGCTAGACTGATCTGCAAACGGGCATCACACAGCAGGTACATGACGTTATTTGGGTGTGGCTTGTTCGAATTGATGGATGGTAACTCAGAAAATCCCTCCCCTTTACACAACACCCTTCCCACTTATACATTCGTAAGCTACTAGAACGCTGTTGCTGATGGCGTTATCAAGGGAGGCGGTAGATCTTGTACGCCTCCTCGAGTCTTCGCCTGCCGTGTCACTCCATGGAACCTTCTGTATGGCTTCTTTCTAGTGCTGACGTAGAACCTTTTCTTTGACAGGGACTACGTGGTAGCACAACAACATCCGATGAGATACACTGGTGAGGAAAAGGTCCATGTCATTCTAGAACACAACATCAAAACCCGTCCGCCACCCAGAATGACACCTGAACGCTAGGTAACAGGTTCGCAATATGCTAAAGTATACTCCTACTACTCCATAACTACTCGATTACTACTGTATCAACAGTACCTGCAGGTCACTAAAATGCACTTGCCCAAAGGAAGTAAAGAGAAGGAGAAGGACTTCAAACGATATGCCCCTATCGCGCCAAGGCCTGGCAAAGACGCCCCGAGAGCCATGCTCCACAGCCGCTAACAAGCTTCTGGACCAGATAAAGGAAGGCACTGCACCTCGTGAGCACAGCGTTCAAAGGCGCCAACCCCAAAAAGGAAACACGTTGCTCATCCACCTCTGCTGGCATTGGCTGGTGGATTAGTTGTGCGTGTGTGTATGGGGGGGGGGGGGGGGGGGGGGGGGGGCACCACCAATCCACAAAGCCTTGAGGACCCTCGGAACTGGCCAGAATTCGACCACTTGGGCAACGCTAATGCCACACACTCTCATTGCCTTTTCGTCAGGCGTGGCCACTGACTGGTCACAATCAACAGTAACTGCGTACGGGCGGGCCGAAAGCCCCCTCCCCAGTTGCCATCTCATTAGTGGATGCCGCAAGGGTTGGGCTGGTTCTCTCGCTCTCCCTTGCGGTTCGCAACTGGGGCAAACCAGCATTCCTCGAAATTTCTTTGCGCCTTCCTTCGTGTTCTGGAAAAGGTAAGAAATTCCAGGATTCCATTTTCTTTTCTTTTCTTTTTTTTTTCTTTGTCGGCTGGTTTTCCGACAACGGTTTGCAATGATGAATCAATCTCCCGGAATTTGACACTGAGCCCGCGACCACGACCACACCGGGATCGGGAGATGCTCTTCTCGTTAACCATCACCACCACCCTGTGACACATACACCAGTATGCTGCATGTCTGCAGGCCCTTGCAGGCGCGTTTGGGGAGAGCCACTAAACACAACCCCCGGACAAGGGTCATTACTGGTGATACCACGCCGTCCAGCCGTTCCGCCCCCCGGATTGGACGTTGCAGAGGATTGTGGAGCGGGGTTAAACCTCCTGGGTAATAATCGGAATTGGCGCTCAGAAGCTGATGGCGCTTAGCACGATGGTGTTATCCTGTACTAGAACCATTCCAGCGTAGCACGGCACTATTTACCCCATAACTGGAGCCAGTCGACTCCGCGATTGACTCCGCGAAGAACAGGAGCACGCAGCTTTCGCAGCTCCTATCTGCTGGAGATTCTTTGTCTGCAACCACACTCTCCTCGTCGGCTTGCAGATTCGCTCATTACCACCAGCAACCACCACTTTCTATACGCTACTGCACATAAGGAAGGTTTTCTTCCCTGGAGGGAATTGGCCCGACAGGCATTCACTACTCACCCACACCATGCTTTTGCTGCAGCCGGGTTTGAAATCGTCCCAATGGATGTCTGGGTTGCACTCATAAGGCTCGAAACTCTCTCTACACAATATACCACCTGCAAGCTCTCCCTCCAGACTTTCTCCCTCCCTCTCCCTCTCTCTACCTTTGGTCTTTTGGTGGAACCCTTATGAATGTATCCCTTTCCCCCCCTTGCCTTTTTGGCTGCACAGCCTGCTTGGCATCCTGTAGATCCTGCGCCAGCTTGACCAATCATTGCGGGGTGGCCGCTCTGCACGACAGCGTTAGGCCGTCGTGCGCCTTTGAGATCATATTCAGCATTATCATCCGTTGAGAGGGGGGCCAATCCGGAGAGTTGTTCTCCGTCTCCGGATTGGTACAGCTAGTATCGTATCGGGGGGAAGAACGTCCACGGTGAGGTTAGGTCTACATGGGAGTTTAATTAATTCTATAAGGAATTGGAAACAATGTTCGGAGTACGCCGTTCAGGCGTGGTATAGTATCCTTTGTCTCGCCTTCCGGTGTAGTGGGCAGAACGTCGTCTTATTACTTACTACTTCTAAAGTAATCATCGCGCCAAGTAGATGGCCATGTGTCTTGTGGATGCGACAACACATCTGGGCTGGACTGATTAACGGATTCATCATTGCATCTAGGCAGCTCTTCCATCTGGCATTGGCTCAGTTGTGCGTGGGTTTCAAGCACAGCGGCAATGCAAACCCCAGCTTGTTTGCTGACAGTGTGTCTTTGTATGTATGTAGCTAGTACCTCTACCTCTGCGACCTGCTGCGGTCACCGGGAGGGCTCAGGTACATGTACTCCGAAGCCTAAGAGGGGCTACGGCGGACTGCGATCGGGTCCAGAATGGCACATACGAGCCCAGTTGCCACCACCTCTTTTTTTTTTTTTTTTTTTTTTTTTTCTTCCCTTTCTCTCTTCTGCTCCCAAACCGCATCAGGCAATCAACTTGATCAAAGCTTTCTGCATTGAATTCAGGCGCCTTCTCCATACAAAAGCTGCAAGAAATCCGGTTCCTGGGCGCCTAATGAGTTGTTGCAGTCTGAGTTTCTAATTTTGTTCTACTATCCTTCTCCCGTTGCGGAATATCGCTTGTTGCTGTAGGGTGCATCATATCATATATCACATTTACCTTTCTACTTCTGTCTACCGGGGCGTTGAATACCTACAGCATACATACAGACATACATACATACATTAAACTCCACGCCTGCTTCTTTTTCGGCTTGCCTGCCTGCCTACTTGCCTGCAACCTACATAAGCTCCGCTATCTATCATTTTTAATCAGCCCTGAGCGATTTTTTCCCCCTCCCTCGTTGCTGCACCGTTGAGGTATATTGGCGTTGAACGCGCGTTTTGGCGACCGCCCCCTTGCTGCCGGTCTCCTTCTACGGATATTCTGTTGCGGGAGGTCGCATTTCAATTGACGCATGGTGAGTGAACGACATTGGTTTCTCCTTCATTCTTTCTAGAAAGCTATTGTTTCTTATTTCCCTCAATTTCCTTACGGTTTTGGGTCCATTCCTTCGGCCCCTTCCTTTTTTTTTTTTTTTTTTTTTTTTTCTCTGTTTTATTTTTATTTTCTTGATCTTTTTGTGTTGGCTCTGTTGTTACCCCATGGTGCTTGTCATATTTTCGGTCGCTCCACTATGCTGTTTCAACTGCAATCCATGACGGGATATTGCTTTGGGGTCCGCCGGTCGATCGATCGATCGACCTGGTCCATACCATCATAGCAACAACCGCAGACTGCCAGACAGTCATAGTGGTAGTGAGCACTACGCGAGGCCAAGGCAGATGGGATATCCACAGAGCTGAGAGAGGGCCCTCTTCTCGAGTCATTCATTGTTGAAGGGCAGAAGAAACAAGCGCCAGGATCCACCATGGCCGGTTTTATATTCCACACCACGATGGGATTGAGTAGTTAGCGGCGGCGGCAGCAGCAGCACAAACAACACGACCTTGCACCATCGAGTTTGACTGCCCCAACGCTAAACTTGCGTTGTTATGGACCCACCTTCGGCCTCACATCCAGCAGCTGGAACTCTGGATTATTACTTCATCGGCCGGAGATCCATCGCGCGTTCTGGTGATCCATTCAAGACCAGCGACGGGAGCCAATTTCCATTCAAGGTCTCCACCTTTTGGCCTCTCAGATCCTTTTTGGGTTGCAATGGTTGCGAGTCACTCTCTGGGCTAGTGTCTGAGGCATGCCTTAGGGGCATGACGTGATTCTCTCCTGGTTGGCCATGCCTCTTTTACTATCTACTAGCCGCGTAGTCCTCATCCCTCCAATGTGTGTTGTGTGGGTGCGTGAGAGTGTGTCTGTGGTTCTAGAAAGTCTGTCTGGGGTCAGTCAGTCATTGTTGCTTTCATGATCAGCGTGGAATCTTTTTCCTGCCGGCCTTCTTCCCCTTCCCAGCTTCAATTTCTTCTTCTCTCTTTGAAGAATAAGCGGAATTAGGGATTTAAGAAGAAAAGAAAAAGAAAACGAGAAAAGCCAAATTGGGAAGGAGGAGACAAAGAAATACGCAGCCCCCCCCCCTCCCTCTCCCTCTTTCTGTCTCTCCCAAAGTGACGATTTTCTTTTTTGAACCATTTTCCACTTTCCCTGTTTTTTCTTTCCCGATTAGGTTTTTACTTTTACATTTTGGGAGGGGTGGGTGGCATTATTTCTTTGGGCTGCAACTGTGACTGGCTGAAGAGACCCGCCGAAGTCGGCGTGATAGGCTGGGACTCATCCTGGATACGATCGACCGGGAAGTCTCGTCAGCGGTGATTCGTGGTGTGGGAAGGCGAGGTTCCCATGGGAATTGCAGAGGGAGAGCATCCACTGCCAGCCAACGTGGATGGGCTCTGGAAGTGAGGAAATCTTGGGCCGCCGGTTGTTCCTGTGGGCCAGCAAATTCAGCAAATCCATCCACTTTCTTCTCGATTTTCACTTTCTGGCGGGTCCCCCACCCCTCTCTCTCTCTGTCTGGCTGGCTTCTCTCCACTCCACTTACTCACTTTCCTTGTGTGCGCCCCCCTCTCTCTCTGTTCTCTCGCTCTCTCTCGCTCTTTCGCTCTTTCCCCCCGGGTGCTCGACGCTTCCGTGCAGGTTCTGAGAACTTTTGAAGGGGTCCTGATCGGCATCACCTCACTCCACCCACCACTGGCCCGTCCTGCCTTGTTTCTTCCACTCTTCTCTCACTCACACCCTCTGGATATGGCTGGTCCTCCTCTTATTTGAATACTTACCAGTCATTCCCCCCCCCCCTCTCTCTTCCTTCTGCCATTCGGCTGTGTCTCCTGTGGCGTCATCTTCTTTTCTTTTCTCAATTCCCTTTACAACTTACTACTATCGCTGTGCCTGGCCTTAGTCCTGTCTCTTATTATTAACAACCGTTTTTTTACTTTTTCCTTGCCCCCAATTACCAACTTTCCTCCTCCAATACATTCCCATCACACACCCCCCGTCTTCTCTGACCCTTCTGGAAAACCGCTGCTGCTGCCTATACCCTTGCTGCGGGACATCGAAACGACTAATCAATCCTTTGTCCACCAACAGATCTCAATCCTTCACTAACTGAGGTCTTCACTTATCTACTCGACTCTACCTTACACTACCACCACCGCTACCACCTTATCGCCGGGTTCTCGCTTCAGCCTTTCTACCCGCTCAGTGTCGCCGCCTCACCGTCGCGCTGTCTCTCTTTACGCTTCACCATCTGAAACACGGCTTCTCTTATCCGACGAGTCTGGCCTCTCCGGAAAGGGTGGCCACTCAACATTCAAGACTGGCGAAGTACCGGATTCACTGCCTGGGCTGTCTCGGAGGATTACAGCAACAACGAGGTGGATTTCGGGGCTTCACCACACCTGCGCCGTACCCCAGTGACCGACGCACGCTGTACGCGATGCTTAAAAAGAAGACCCTGCATCCTCCCATACTCTTCCGACACCATACTCCCAGCACCACCCCTGAGCTTTCTCCCACGTCTTCCTCATCGGACAGCGAGTCGGACGAGGACATGGACTCCTCCGGTTCGCGTCCGCTGAGTTTGACGGTTCCTCCGGGTGCTTTCTGTCCCATGCGTCCCTCATTAGATGAGGTGCTGGCCAACACTGCACCTGCCCCATACACCCTTAGTGCCTTTATGGCCTATCTCTCGCAGAACCACTGTCTGGAGACCCTGGAATTCACGTTGGAGGCCAAGCGGTACCGGGAAACATACGATGCCCTGAGCCGCCAGCTGAATGAATCGCCCATCGTCACCGACTGCACCGGCAGCCAGCATCTGCGTATGCTCTGGCAGCGACTGTTGACTGCTTACATTCTGCCCGGATCTCCACGAGAGATTAACGTCTCCAGCGAGGTCCGCGATGACATCCTTCGACACGCCAATCTTCCTAACCCGCCGCTTCCCGAAACCCTGGACGCTGCCGTAAAACTCGTCCATGATCTGATGGAGGAGTCGATCTTCCTGCCGTTTCTCAACTCGCATGCTTCGACCGCTCACGTTTTGCCGCTATCGGAGCCGCTGTTTTCTCAGGAGGACGATATCACCGTCGTATCGAACTCCAGCTTCGACGAGCACACGGCCAGTCGGGGCCGATCGAAGAGGAGACGGCAGTCTCCCCAGTCTTCCAAGGATTTGGGATCGCCGGTGTCCGTCGGTTCTCCGCCTAGCCGCTCGAACTTCTCCTTGAGTGCAATGACTTCCATGGGTAAGGTCGGTCATCGGACTTTGGGACAGGTCTCCAACGCCAGCGGAGATTCCGGGTCTGGGGCGTTGACTGATGACTCCGGAAGCTTGCAATCGAGTGCCAGTGCAGGCGAACCAATGACACCGCCGACTACGCCGCCCTCCAGCGATCCTCACTGCATGCACCTGGCCCACAGCCCAAAGCGCACCGACAACCCATGGAAAAAGATGGGACTGAAGTTGGGCTTCAAAAAGCGCTCGGGCCACGGAGGCTCCGGCAACCAACATTTCAAGTTGTCTGGCATGGACGAATGACTGGCCGTTCAAAACCGGCCGACAACAACCTTACCGAAATCCCACCCCATCTGGCAGAGCATCAAAGCTCTGATGATGTCCTTTATCACTCAAAAGCCTTCTTCGCTCCGAATTCTCGCCGGATCGCCAAAAATGGCATCCTGATCTCTACTCCTCTCACCGCATCGGCTAGACCGCATGATCCGATCTACATAACCTGATACCGCATATATGATTGATCTCTCGGTTATTGAGCGAATATGTCGCATTGACTCACTGACTACGAGTGGACGGTGTAATGCATGTGCATTATGATTTAAGCATATTCCGGCGTTCTGTCTCATCTTCTTTTTGCCTTTTTTTCTTCCACTTGCATCGAAGCAAGCGACCCAGCGTGCATCATTCCATTTGTCATCATCAAAACCATATAGACTTGGGGGTTTCCAAAACGGGATGGTGGTTATCTGTTATGTCTATTGGCGTTTTGTGTGTGTGTATCCATATTGAATTTCTCACAAGGGGGAGTGGTGTGGGGTGTCGAGGGGACATTCTGTTGATGTGTGCGTGCATGGGAGTTGTTTTTTATCCCCCTTTTGTCAAAGGGCATGACTGCATTTTTTTCTTTCTCCTCCGTGTTTTAGTTAGCATCACACTTTGCATCAGCATTAGCATTAGCATCACTGTGTACTGGTCGATAGATACCCATGGATTGGATGCTTTTTATCTTCACCTTGTTCCGTGCTCGAACTTAGGATTGAGTAGACTGTCCTGTCATAAACCGATCAGTAATGAAACCCCATCTCACCGATCAACAGTGCTCCTTCCTACATAGTCAATACTCATGTATCGATCATCATAAAGCAATTATGACCTGTTATAAAAACACATGGTACTAAACTACACAAGAGTACACTAATTCAATATCCAGCCATAGATAAACAGAACAGCTATGCTAGCTATATTACACCACGACCCTCCTTCCCGACCTCGTCTCCAACGCAGCAATGCTCAAATCCCAGCCATTATCCGTCAACACAGTCGTATACCGATCAAACCTCGACCCTTCATTCAGGAACTCCAACGTCCGGTGCAGTACATCCATAGTAGCTTCAATCTGGTTTGAGGTGTTGATGGAATCCGCTGCTGATGACGTCGACAAAACCCTTGCAGCCAGCAAGGCATGCGCCCATGCTTTGAGCTGGGATTGACTTGTGGTAGTGTTCTTGAGTAGGATGTTGGCGTGCCATGTTGGGGTCATTTTACTGCTGCTGCTGCTGCTGCTGCTGCTGCTGCTGCTGTTGGTGAGATAGAGGATGTAGTCTTCTTTGCTGAATAGGGTGGTGAGTTGGGGCATTGGGATTGGAGTTCGGAGGGATTTTGAAGATGTGGTGGATAGTGCAGACGAGGAGAGGAATTGTTGCAGAGAGATGCCTATACGACAATAACCGAGGGTTTGAGGGGGAGTCGTTGTTGAGGAGGACCAGCGGAGGATGCCGTCTGTTTCGAAGATTTTCTCTTGCCTGGAGACGTGGGCTGGGGTTAGGGTCTTCCAGGAGGGCGGGTGGTGGGAGTGTTGTTGTTGTTGTTGTTTGGTGGGTTCTGCGCGGAGGAGTTGTGTGACGTCTGGGTCGGTGTTTAGGAGGGTTGAGAAGACGATGTTGGCTCGCTGTCTGTTGAGACTGGTCATTTGGACGGAGCGCACGGCGGCATAGTTGAGACTGAGGTGCAGGGCTAGAAGCATTAAGAGGCATATCCAGGTTGTGGAGAAGCTGGTCACGCGGGAGACGACGAAGGAGCCGACCTGTGAGGTTCTTGGTCAGGTTTGTTCTGCTGGGGAAGATGAGTTGTAGGAGTTAGGGTATGTCTGGCTTACGAGCATGCCGATGAGGGATATGATTGTCTCTTGCGATGAGTCTTTCTGTTGATAAGAAGTTAGTGGCTGTATTGTAGGCGCAGGGTTCGAATAATGATTGAATCACTTACGGCATTGACTTCAGCGAGATTCCCCCAGCGAGAGAAATGCGCACTCAGACTCGCCTTGGAACTCCCACCTGCTACTCCGCATAGAGCCCGAAGGACACCTGCTGTGCTGAGGACGGTGACTCGAGGAGCACCTGCTGGGATCATTGGTGAGAGACAGTCGAGGATCATTGCTAGATCGTTGAAGACGTCCGCTGCCAGCCGGTACATCTTGCATTCTGGCTCGAGAGCAGTACCGACCCGATGCGCGAAGAGGATCGTCGCGATCCGGCCAGAGGAGTCTTGGAGGATATGCAGCAGTAGGGCTGCGGTGGGGGAGGCATTGGCGTTACCAACTCCAACACCTAATAGCTGTTAGCATTGGTAGTCTGTGGACCAGCTGTTGGGTGTGAACAGGAAATCTACCGACCTTGCAGCACTGCTCTCGAGGATAGGAGACCGGCAATCGAGCTGCTGAAGGCTTGGAGAGAGTCCTTCGTGGATTAGCCGTCTAGTCTGATAGGGGGCAAGTATGGTAGTGCTTCGGTATGGTGTGCTCAACGCTTTCCACATACAAACAATTGGTATCTGTATGAATTAGTAGAGCCCAATGCTAGGAAGAGAGATCAACAGTATCTTACGGCGTATAATCATCCGTGACACTGTGGGGATATCCAGCAGGAAGGAAGACCTCAACCAAAAAGTCTAGAACGCTCTTTGAAGACCAAGCTGCCGGAGTAGTGGAGGAAGCATGCTACCAAGCAAATGGTTAAACCGGAATGACAGCTTTGCAGCCTAGTGCTCAGATTGGGTAACATTGGAGATCACGTACTGCCACATCCACGCGTCCCCAATTCTCTCCATGCTTCTTGTCCTGCTCAGGACGTGCAGGGCCCGCTGCGGGCTCGGAGTAAATGTAAGTTGCGGTAGGGTGATTAACTTCGTCCACCTCGGTGAAGGTTATTGCGGTGCTGTCCTCTTTAAGGGCCATTATGTGGCGCGTGTTCCTTGTGGTCTCGATGAAAGTCCCGTTTGAGACCTAACGCGATGTTGGAGACGCGTAGCTCGATGGAAGTTGTATAGAAAGTTGTTGTTGCGTGGCAGGAGCTGACGCTAAGGATACGGGCACGTGTCATGACATCTGTCCGCTGCAGTCCGGCAGAATCTCGGATGGATGACCAGTATCTCTCTACAGTAGACTACGTGACTGCAAACAGTTGTGTTGAATTGATTGATCGTATTCAAGGTCTCCTCGAGCCTCAGTATAGTACTAATAAACCTCAGGGAAGAACTCAAACAAAGCCCCGCAAACCGAGGATAGTCCAACATGCAGCAGACTTTTGGATCCGAATGAAACAACCATCTATGCACAGAAATCCGAAGATATCTCAGCAAGCCCCAGCCAGACAACAAGAAAGCATCCGTCATGCGTCGCGCCCCAAGTACAAGGAATCCAAACCGCTAAGCTCCGAAACAAGCAACCACCAGCGCCGTGACCGAAAAGAAAAGCATAAAAAGAATCAATCGAAGAAGTGCAGGGACGGAAGCAGCTCCTGGTTGGACAATGCCAACAAACGACCCATCACCAGTATGCGACGGTGCTCCCAGCCCCTGATTATAGTACCATCCAAGTTCCAATGATGCGAGACGAACCAGGCCCCACAACTCGCCTGTTACTCCATGGTTGAATTGGGAGAACAACGGCTGCCACGGCCCCATGCCGATGGTCGTACTCTATCTTAACATGGCAGTATTCGTCAATCACAAAACCGTGACCGCTACCGTTGCGTCATCTCTCGTTGAGTGAGATCCTGGAATGATCTACGCGAACAGGCTGGCACCGCCGGTCTCAATGGCCTCAATCTCGGCCTCGGACCAGGGAAGGCGGTGGAAACGGGCAGGAAGCTCGTCGCGGTCGAAGAATTCACCCTGCTTAGGCTGAACGGGGCCGAGGGAGGCACCAGCGCTGCGGCCAATGCCCTGAGAGAAAGAGGCACGGCCAAGGGGGCCGTGCTGCTGAGCCTTGATGCGGTAGGCGGCGAAGGAGTCCGGGAGAATTCCGGAAGGAGAAGCGGGGTGAGGACGGGGGGTGTGGTCAACGGACTCTGAAGATGGGTCATGTTAGACAAAGAGGCAGGCGCGTCGAATTGACGGGTGGGAATGAATACATACGAGGCACGGAACGGCGGCCGAGGAACCGGATGAGGGGGGTGCGGGCAGCGCTGCGGAGAGCAAAAGTGGCACGCATTTTGTATAGTAGGAGGAAGGAAGATAGGGTTATAGATTATAAGGTAGTCGTAAGGATGAAAAGCGAGGAATCGAGAGAAACCGCTGGTGTCCGACGCGACCGAATTAAGCGATTAATAAGTTTGGAAGTGGAAGAGGAAGCTTTTAAAGGGCAGGCGGATTCTCCACGACAAGGACACAGAAGGCCTATATATTTTGAGAAAGAAAAGAGGCAAGGACTGTACAGAAGGCTGTCTGGACGGAGGGAAAGGAGCAGGAGGAGAATTGGAAAGACTGGTGGAGGGGAAGGGGAAGAGAAATGAATGAGGAGGAGGAGGAGGAGGAGGAGGAGAGGGAAAATGCCGACGAGGGTCGGAGCGGAAGCGAGGGTGTGGGTTTTTGATAAGCCCAGCTTTGGTGGTATGTATGGAGTAATACGGGTTATTAACGAGAAACCCGCCGCCGGATTTTGTGATCCGGGCTTTGCCTTCCACCATTCATTCCACCATCAATCTGGCACGATTACTACTCCTCAACGTCTAGTTCTATACTGCTTGTGGTATAATCAGAGACTATTCGGTCGAGTCGGTACTAGCTGCTCCTTGCCAATTCGATAGCGACGACATCATGTTCCCCATCTTTTCCCCAAATCAGATATTAGACTGATAGTGTTAGGATGATTGACACCTGATGATTACTCCCGACGGCCCCGATCCTTGCCCAAACCCGCATCCCCGGTGAAGGAAGACCTGTGCCTGACTGGTCAGTGAGTTTGGATTTGGGGGACCTGCATCGGTGCTTCCTTCTAATCGCCTTTCCTCCCGACGCTTTTCACCTGCAACGTCTCTTTTCGGCTTCCCCTCATTCGTAGGATTTTCCGGAGGACGTTATGATGCTCCAGTTGGTGTAACAAACCCTCTCTTATCTTAGATCACCTGAGCGGAGAAACATCACAGGAAAGTCGTCTGGCGTGATCCCCCTCACACATGCACATACGTACACCCTCACTCTATGTAAGACTTAGAACTGTACTTTTTACCTTCCGGGATCTGACCCCCCCGCAAGCCCTGGGAAGGAGGGCAACTCAACCTCACTATTCACTAATAGTAAATTCCTTCCCCCCCCCCCCCCCCCCATCTTGGCATGTGCTCGGATGAGTCTACCCCAATTAGCCCTGTCCAAAAGGGGAAATTTTCAACACAAGCAATATTAGAGGAACAGGGAAAAAAAGAAAAATCATAAAGTTTAATTTTTCAAAAAAAATCTTTTATGGTTGATTTGTTGTCTTCTTAAACTTTGCCTTCTAGCATTTTGCCGCTCACACTGAAATCCCTGGTTTACTCACCTCGGAGTTACAATCGCGTGATATCACATGATTGTTATCTCCCCACGCGTTTTCCGCCCAGCCAGAAAGTGGATTGCTGTTCAACTATTGTGTTACTACTGAATTCTCGAGACTTGTCTGGCAGTTACCGTACCATAACAATATTACTTACCGGCCGGACCAAAGTGGACACTCGGAAGGAGTCTCCGACCCGACTTCACCCGTGCTTTTTGCCTGATTTGCGGCTTTGCCTGATGTGTTCCGTCTTTTCCTGAGCAAAGCTGGCCGGAGCTAAGGGAGCTACAGACAGGCTCGAACGAACTCCCGATTTCTATTCTTATTCGTCTCGATTTCTACCCCGGTTCTTCCTCTTGCGATTATGCATGAGCTTCTGCTCTTCGCCTCGGTCCCCGCGCATCAGCATCATGAGCTCCTTCAACAGCTGGCCGGGTTGACGGCCATGCAACCCCGTCACCGCCTGGAAAGACGCTTGGTTTTCAAGGCCTACCGCAAGCCAGGTTTGACCACCACCCGGGTTGGGGCCAGTCAAGATCTGCAGGGTGTCGAATTGCAGCGCCTTAATAAAATGCTCAATGGCGGCATGTTCTATACCCAAGTAGTTGGTCCCGTCGCCAATGCCGACTTTGGCGGGAACCCTTCCTCATCTGGAGATCCCGATGTCTCCATGTCCGGATTGGAGGAGAAGCCATCGTCGTCTTCGTCGTCTTACAGTTACGAGGACCAGCCCTGGAAACTTGAATTTAGAGATATTCCCGAGGCAGGCACTCGATCCGCCGTAACTGCTCGTCTAATGGCCAGTGCCACGCTGCCCAAAGGTGATATCACGGCGCCCATGAATGCCTGGGGCTATAGGTTAGTAGCATCCCGTACTCCTCGGCGCATATCCAGCTCCTTCGTATCTTGATTGGTCCTAGTCAGCTGACAAACTGGGTTCAGCTTTGTCACTGAGTACGTGGTGGAAGGGGATGTCTTTGTTCTCAATGACATCGTTATCTTCCTACACCGTGTCCTGCTTTACCCGACTGGGACGCAGGACTCACATGGACCTCGTCGGCAGCTGCCTGCTTATCAGGAACTCTCACCGCTGGAACGGACAGGGAGCTATGTCCTGCAAGCTGCTATCACCGTCCAGGATGGCGGGAACCAGGAGATGATGAGGACGGCTTCGCAGCATTTGTTCGGGCTTCGCGAGCAGCTCAAGTCGGCCGTCCGTCTAGAGATGGCGGATCGGCTGTCTCTGGATACGCGAGCGAAGTAATCATGTATTATCATATCTTTTTAGCCGTGCTATATACCCCGGAGTTGATGGCTCTCAGTAGATAAATCATTCGAAATTCAAATCTGACATTAGGAGCCTTAAAAACATAGTGCTGAGATCTTTTTTTTTGGAAAAGCAAACTTTAGTTGAAAACATACACCTCGCTTGATTCAATTGATGTCAGCGGTGCAGTTGTAGCATCCATCAACTGTATGGGTGCAATGAGCCGTCAATATAAGCATGTGACTTCGCGAAGTTCAGGCGCGCGTCAGCGCGTCGACTTCCGCTTTTGAATCCGACACCAGTTCGAGTCATCCAGTCGCAGTTTATCTCTCTTTCGGCTAGATTCAGAACCACGGTACCCGGTAAACATATTCAAGATTATTTCCAGACTCCAGTATCTCAGGATGGCCGGCGGCGGGGGCGTGAAACGTACAGCTTCCCCCACTCGAGCTATTTCGCCGCCTCCACTCAAAAGGAAGGTTGAGTCTACCATAACTAGTGAGGCACACCTATTCTGTTTTCGTACGTCTCTATACTAATAGGGTTAATAAATACTAGAAAAAGCTGTTTCCTCCTTCTTTACTCCAGCATCACAGAAAAAGCCCGAACAGATCACTTGGCGCATTGTCAACAACAGTGCCGTCATTGGCAAGTATACTTCGGAACTCGGTCACAAAAATAGTACAGAGAAGCCTAGGATCGCGGCATTTGACCTGGTCAGTTGAAAACCAGACCGTTCAGCGATTTTACGGTTTATCATTGCACGAGCCCGAGACTGACTAGGTGATCGCACCTAGGATTCAACGCTCGTCTCGACAGCCTCTGGAAATACTTTCCCCAGGAATGGGTCGGATTGGAAGTGGTGGCATGATACAGTACCTGGGAAACTCAAGGAATTGAACGACAATGGGTATGTAGTAGGTTGGCTTATAGTTCCCTGATCGGGCTGCTTCCGGACAACAGGATATTGATCTCTCTTCTGTGCAGATACTACGTGGTGGTCGTAACGAATCAAAAAAAGATTAGTCTCAAGAAAGATCTTAAGAAAGGCCAGAGCGACTCCAAGAGCCTTGTCAACTTCAAGGAGAGGGCGTCGGCTGTCATGAAGCAACTGGACATCCCTCTCAGTGTATATGCGGCCACAGGGGATGACGAATATAGGAAACCCAGGACAGGTCTATGGAAGGAGATGCTCGACGACTATGATTTTGATGTGTCGGGGGTCAATCTGGCAGAGTCCGTTTTTGTAGGGGACGCTGCTGGACGGCCGAACGATCATTCCATGGTCGACCGGTAGGGCTGGCCTTTTGAAGCACACTCACGGACTTGATACGCTAACGGCGGTTCAAGCGGATTTGCACTCAATGTTAAAGTACCCTTTAAGACGCCCGAGGAGTTCTTCCTCAATGCTGATCCAGAGCCACTCGTGGAACCGTTCGATCCGACAAAATACCTGCAAGCAGAGCCAACTGACGACGGTGAGTCTCAATGCACGGGGTGATTGTGAATCGACCATCAGAGTACCCTATTGACAACTTGTCTTGCATGCTGCAGTGGCGCCACCTTTCTCTCGCCAGAGTCCTCTCGAGTTGGTGATATTCTGCGGCAGCCCTGGGGCGGGCAAATCCTCATTCTACTGGGAATATCTAGAACCGCTGAAATACGAACGAGTCAACCAAGACCTGCTCAAAACTGTACGTTTTCTTCATTATATCTTCAGCCCTTATACGGGTTACTTCCTTCCAATACCCCCTTCTACGCCAAGCCCACAAGTGGCAGAGGCTTCGCTCGCGCAGCAGATAGACGCCTCAACGACCAACCCACATCTATGTACTACCAAGATTGCATAATCTATCATCTAACCAGCCGTTTAACACAGCGCCCTAAGTGCATCAAAGTGGCAAAGGAACACCTTGCAGCCGGAAGATCTGTGGTTGTCGGTACGTGAACGTTATGAACGGGGCAGTCTTTTCCCAAGAGACCAACCCACCCACCCTTGCATTGACACTCCGACGGTCTAAATCGTCGATTTCCCGGGCTCGAGTCTAGCCAGGCTACACCAACCCTAGCCCATATTGCGATCCCCCCCCCCTCTCTTCCTCAGTAACCACGGTGTTATTGGAAATGCACGAACGGTTAGCTTCGTCGCTGATCAGACGCACAGACAACACCAACGCCGACCCGGAAACCAGATCCCACTGGGTAGAAGTCGCTAAGGAATTCAACGTCCCGATTCGTTGTGTTTATTTCACAGCTTCCCCGGCCCTCTGCCGGCATAACAATGCGGTCCGTGCCGCAAATCAAACCTTGGTGAGTCCGTGCGAGATGAAGATGCGCGTGTACTGCATCCCCATTGTCCCCTCTTCCCCTCCCACCCAAACCCATAGCTTGTCCTCTCCCCATTTCGAGTCGTTCGAATGGAGGTAGGTGGTGGTTATACCAACTCCACCCATCACTACCATCTTCCCCAACGATCACACGTGTATTATCAGATCATCAGACACACCTATACCCATACATGCATACATACACCACTACAACAACCGATGTATACCATACTCAATACTAACTCTCTACCCAATCCCAGAACCCCGAGTCACGCACCCTTCTCCCCGGAATCGCCTTTGGAGATTTCCTCCGCCGATTCAAAGAACCGTCAATGGAAGAAGGCTTCCAAGACATCATCCGCGTGGAATTCCGCTTCCGAGGAGACGAGACCGCCAAAAGGTTATGGGGCCAGTACTGGGTGTGAAGACAACTATTCTATGTAGTATCTAACCGCCCAACAAACTCATTAGCATTCATAGAACATTGTCTCATAAGAAAGCAACCATAGAAACACAGCTTAGCTTAGCTCGGCTCAACTCAACTAGACTACCATCCATAAACAACTCCAGCTACCTACTACTACTGCTACTACTGCTGCTGCTGCTGCTGCTGCCTACGTAGTCATTCATATGCAGCGACAGGCTAATCCAGCTCTGTTCTAGGCGTTCTATCTATCCATCTAGTCTAGCGGGAATGAAATGCAAGCATGCATGCATGCATAACTGAAGAAAAAGAACAATCAATATAAATGACCGAACGAGCGAGCGATCTGCCAGACCCTACCCTACCTAGCTGACTAGCTAGCGAGCCACCAGCTAATTAACGTAAGCACTTAAGTTTAGGCGACATGTGCGCGGTACGAGTTACTCGATTCGGGTGGCTGTCGAAGGGGGGGAGGGGGAAGCGGTCGACCCCGCGCATGTATGCATCAGGCGACTTGTCTGACCTGAGTCCTGACCCTGGCTGGCTGGCTAGCTGGTCCTTTGAGGGGAGGGGGGGTTGAGTAACTGTGGACTACATACATACATACATACATACATACATACATACATACATACTACTACTGTATGTATGATTGAGGGAGAGAGAGGGTGTGTAGGTCCCCAGGTCGCCAGGTCGTACGTATTTTTGGTTCTTACCAGTATGGGACCTAGTTATTACTAATACTGACTATTGGAAAAACTAAACTGTAAAAATATACTGTCTCGCCAGGTGGTAAACCTGGTGAGATCTTATATTATATAAAATTTTAATTAAATCTTATTAAAAGATTTGATAATTACTAGTTAAGATTAAAAAAATAATTGAAATTACGACCTGGGGAATTCTGGTTATATATTACTATATATATATTAGGTATTATTTATTTTATTTCTATTTTTATATATATATAAATTTATTTATTTAAAATATATTAATAAAATATAAAATTAATAGTTACTAATATCTACTAGAAATGATTAGA